GTGAGTCTCTCTCTGTGTTTAAGAAGGAAGTCAGATCAGAATCAGCTGACAGTCAACTCAGAGGTTCACTGTAACACTAAAAGATATGTAGGTAATAAAGCAAGACATTCCCCTCCTCCACCACTTTCGCCTGCAGTCTGAACACAGTCTAAGTGTATTTTCCTGGGCAGACTTTTACTTTGTCGGTGTATGTTTCCGAGGAGTTTCCTGGTGTACCTGTGGTGCCTGATGTGTAGATGTACAGAGCAGTGCTTCTGATGTTGACGTTGGCTCTGAGGTCCCGGGACAGCGGCTGATCTGAGGCCTGGGAGATCTTGTCAGACAATGTCTTGATGCCCTGAATGCTGCAGGCCTCTGACAGGAGGTACACACTGATACCCTGCTCTCTCAGTGTTGGTAAAACCTCCTCCACAGCGTCCTGCAGTTCTGCAAATACAGAGAGGCATTCAGCTCTACACAATATGTTAGAGCGCTGTGTTGCGCAACAGCACATGTAGGCCCTGTATCATGTTACCACAGATCCCACTGGGATTCGAGCACATGGTGCAGGCAGTTCAGTCCCAATATATGGAGTTCTCAGTAGTGAAACTCTAGCAGCATAATGGGAGCACGGAGAAACAAGTTTCAGAGTGCAATGTCCCTTTTGTTTGTTACCCGAAATGAACTAAGTCATCAGGACTGAATGCAAAGCACACTGACTGAAACCATGTGAGAAAAAAAAAGGAATTAAACCATTGTTCCTGATAACATTTGCTGAGAAAGCTGTTAGATAATGACATCCAAAGACTCCTTAATTATCCTGCCAAATTTGTATTTTCTGGTCTATATTCTTAGGAATGTTCACTACTTTAAAATCCCATTGCTCTGTTTTTTAAACTCAACAGAGAACAAAATGTGATACAGTAACTGTTGTGTTAGGACAGATAATCTTTTCACAGGGAGATTAGCAATGAGTGATGATTCAATATTATCAGCTGTTGCATTACCACATAATCATACTGTGATGACATTGTCATGCATAAATGTTTGAGAAGTTAAATCATACCACAGAGTTACATATACATTTAAAACACTAAACACTAACACTGGCTTCCTAAAACACTAAATAAACATTTTAATCAACACACTCAATATATATTCCAGTTTTTATCCTTTTAATTTTGTCCATACTAGTGCAGACTAATAGAAAGGCTTTCAGTCAGTTGTAAAGGTGGTTAATAAAGGGTGATTATCACTGTCAGAGTTGTTATTATTAGCAACATGTGGCCTGATAATTGTCTTAATAAAGGTTCCGTAGCATTACCACAGTAGTCCTAAATGAACATTAGGATTCATTAAGAAGTCCAGTTCAGAGCATTAACCTACATGCACTAAGTTAATGTTGCATCTGGTTCAAGTGATGCTACGTCGTCACTACTTTAAACACTCCTGAGCAGTTTAATCCAACACAAGGTTGGATCACCAACCATGCAAAGTGGGCAACTGCCCCACGGCACAGATTTATTGTGTGGCAATAAGTCTGTGGTGTTTGTGTGTTAATCTGCAACATTAAGCAGAATACAAACTGAAATGATCTGAAAATCTGTGATTATTTATTATTATATTGGACATTAATGGTGAGACTGTTCATACAGATGCATTAATACATAAGCAGTAGAAGTATATAATGTTGCAGCTGGTTGCGCTGGAGCTACATGTAACTACTTTATGTACTGTACTGTTGTTGTTTAGTCCAGCGGTTCCAAACATAGGGGTCGGGCCCCTTCAAAGGGTCACAAGATATCACAAGATTAATGTGGTAGGAAAGAAGTTCTGCTGCAAAATCATCTTTTGTAATAATCTATGTTTTTTTGTGTGAAATATTGGAGCATTTTAACCTATTTGGGCTTATGAGAAGTTAAGAGTGGAAATGTCTCTGAAACATGACATGAGCCCCAACTACATGCTGCTTCTTAAGGAGTCACATGCAAAAAGCACTGGTTTAATTCTCAATTATTGGTTGTATTTTACAGTCTGATTATATGTTCATGCAAAATCTTAATCTGACAAGTAGAGTTGAGAAATATATCTAGTGGTGTAAAAAGTAGCTACAGTGTTCCCCTCTGAAATGTAGTGAACTAGAAGAACAAAACAAAGTAACTCATGATTATCAGAACAGTATTTGAGTGACTGTGCTTTCCACCACTGGACAAAATGGAAATTCTGTAACCTCAAGTCGTACTTTGAACTTTGCACTCTCCTGTGAGCAACAAGCATGCTTCTGGAATAATGGTGGAGGGCTCCGAGCTCTGCAGAGAGCTGAAGACCACCCTCCTCCTCCTCCTCCTCCTCCTCTTACACCTTACCTGCAGAGGCGATGATCACTTTGGCCCCGCAGCAGGAGAAACAGTGCAACAGAGACTTGGATCTGATGTTATAGTTGAGGAGAGCAGCCGGACAGCCCAGCTTGGCCAAACCGAGCCAAGTCCACATGAAACTGGGCTCGTTGGCCAGAAACAGGGCGACCGCGTCCCCCTCCTTGAGCCGGGCTTCAGCCTGCAGAGCTCTGGCCACCTTGTTGCTCTGTTTATCCACTTCGCCATAAGAATATTCTCGACCTTCAAAGTGCACAAAGACCTTATTGGGATGGCTCTTCACCGCATCCAAGAAACGGTCCAAGATGCTGTAAAAAGGTTTGATTTTCTTGTATCTGACGAGCCTGGCACCAAGTTTAATGCTCCTCAGGATGTATGCGCAGTCCTCGCCAAGGTAAGGGAAAAAAGTCTTGAGGAATGAGAAGGACAGAATAGCCAGTCCGGCTAGAACAGTGAACCAGATGTACATTTTGCAAAAGCGCACTTACACTTGAGGCATCTGTCAGCGAGAGTCAGAGGAGGCAGAAATAATGCAGCTCAGGGAAATTTGTGACAAAGTTCACCCACTCAACTCTTCTGGGGCGGTCCTCAGCTCCGACCCCTCGACCCCTCCTTCATTACGGAATGTTTTCCAGTTGCCAGATCCGGTGTTTCCACCTCCAGTCTGGACTGAATTCACACTGATTTCTGCACGTGTATGTTATTCTCATGTTGGATTAGTGTGTTCTGCTGTAACCTACGACTTTGTGCAAGATCTGAATCTGTGAGAAAATTGATTAAATAAACTGGCAAACATAAAGGTAGAAGCAGTGCATTGAGAACCTGCGACACCTCCAGGTCGGGACAGTTAACTGCAGTTTATTTGCCTGGTAATGGTTTTTTTTTTAAAAGGGGCATAAAGAGCCGACAGCATCAATAAGAGTGAAATCCATCGTTGTGCATTAATAATAGAAGTTACACACTACTACAGAAACTCTGCACATGGCAACCCTCATTATTAATGTGCAATCTGAGCAGCTGGTGGGAGTGCACGCCTGAAACGGAGCTGTATTTGCTGGTTTATGGAGAGGGGCGTGACTACAAGTTACACACACACACACACACACACTTTATTGTGGTCTGGAAAATAACTAAAATCGTGTATTTCTATATTGAAGCACATACTGTTCAGTGTTTGAAAGACGAATGTTATTGAGACTCTTATCATATGTGGAGAAGGGTGGCAACTAATTAGTATTTTTTTTCCCAATAAATCAATTAAATGTTACTAAATGTCAGAATATTGTGAAAAGATCCACATTACATTTTCCCAGAACTTGGGGTGATGTCTTCAAATTTTAATGTTGATCCACCAACAGTCTAACTAAAACAGAGTACAGGTGTAAATCCCAATCTGTGGGTTGATGTACACAGGTCAGACCTAAGTCACAAAAATAACCTGAAACTTGATTTAGTCTTGACAGCTGTGAGACTTGATTAGTTGAGACTTAACCTCAAACACTCGACCTGACTTGACAATTCAAAGAGAACAGCATCAAAGTCTTGAGTTCTGACTGAACAAGAGATATGACAGCAGCAGGTAGGCTTGCACAAGCACACGCGCAAAAAGATTAAATTCTTTCTCTATTAACACAGATTTGAAATTAAAATATTCTAATGCCCTTAATGGTCAGCATTCAAAAGAAAATCTTAAAGACTTGCAATTTAATGGTCACCTGTCCTCAGAGACATGAGACTTATTTAGTTCCTCAGTCTTACAAACATGTCCTGCCGGTTAGGTAATCCTCTATCCAGACAAGAGGCATGTTTACCTGCATGGCCCCGAGCTTGTCTCCCGACAGCAGAGGCTGTGTGGTATTAAAAGCATGATCAAACAGCATGATCCTCGGTGTGCTCCCATACTTGTTCAGGTGTGAATAAATTATGGTGTCATCCAGTCTGATGTTTGGCAAACTGCATGGGCTCCAGTGCTGGTCTAACGAAGGGCCTGCGGTGGGTCCACCCGAGCCACTGGTCTGTAGTTTTTTAAGACTTTTTGGTTTCCCATTCTGGGGTATTTGGACCAGACGTGAGATCTTCCACAGTGTGTGTGGGCCAGTCAGGTAACATGATAACATGATACAGGTTGACGATATGTTGCGCAGCTGCTCAGCACATGTCTTGAGCACCTTGGTGCCTCCATCTCAGCTCAGTGTGAGCTCCTCCCTGTCTACTGCCCTGAAGGCTCTTTTTTCACTCACAACTGTCAATTTTAACACACTGGTGGTGCTACATAGAAAAGTCAGAGGATCAGTATTGTTTGTACAGATATGATGGGCAATTCTGCTGATAGTTGTTGAGCTATTTCACTCTGGACTGAGGTTATAGGCTAACTGTCATTACATCCCTAAAGCTACGGCAATAACAAGCCTAAACTAGTCTCAGTGGTTTTGTCGTGAAAACATCTGTTTACTGAGGTCTTCTCAGTGCTGCTGATCCCTGGTCAGCTCCAGGGGCAACACAACCTGGGTCAACCTGCACCCAACCACAGGAGGGTTGGAGCTGGTAGGTCATATTGATGAGAAAAACGTTGCTGTGCTTTAAAATGACACAGATAAAGATTTATTTAAGGTAGATAGAGAAAACACATCACCATTAACCCATAAGTATTAATTTTATATTTATTATTATCATTATTATTCTACTATTTATTAACTCCTAAGTGAAGCTATCAATGCATACATTATGAGTCACAGCGCAGTGCAACAAGCTCAAACATGCTCTCTGGAGGAGGATTTAAGTCATTTTATATATAAAATAACTGTTGAAATCACAAAGGTAAAGCGATAAAGAGAAATCTCAACACTTCCCTTAGAAGTGCTGAACATCACATAGTGAGTGCTACAGTGCAAACAGGTGGGTTAAAAGGCTTGCAGGTCACATGGAGTTCAAGTACAGTAGCCCCCCTCAATTTCGTTAGACAGCGTTATACATGTACGTCAGGAGCCAATCAGCTACTTGGCATTTGGGCTCAGCTCGCCTGTAGAAACCGGCTCTTTAAAATCTGACAGCTCTTCATTTAGTACCACTTCTGACTTTATTAATTCATACAAATTTACTTTACTACAACAAACAGCTCTCTTAGTTAATCGTCAAAGCCGTCCACGTTATTCTCTGTCAAGATTAATTACATCTGCATCTGATATTGATACCTTGTGGACAAAATGTATAGAACTTTGATTGTAACTAATGTAAGTTGTATTGTGTTATATTATACTTAATGTCTGTTATTATGTTAGTCTAGAAACCACATTCAACTCAAGTGTAAACCTGTACAGCTTTCCACTGAAGCACAGGAAACCTCTGAAGCGTCTTCTATTCTAACTGACACAACACAGTGATTACAAACTCTACAAGTGACCTTTTCTTAATGTCTCTCAAACAAGAAGCAACGAAAGCCACTTTAAATTTTGATCTTCCCTGATGTAACTGAATGGAATAAGTCCAGCGTAAGTGGGACGTAATTATTGTCTTTTTCATCCAGGAAGTAGAGTGGGTCCGTTATTTTATTTGGGTTGAAACCCTCCCCCACCAGCTTCCCCTTCATATGCTTAAACGTGCCCGTAACGTCCAAGGAGCTCTGTAACCAATCACAGTGCAATGTATTATTACGGGGGGTTAAATAATGCTCTCACCACAAAGGCTGAAACTGTCAGAATGCTTTGTGAAAATATGAGATCAGTGGAATAAACGTACCTGAATCCTCATAAAACGTGGCCTCGCGTATGCCGGCAGGAAGTTTTTGACATGTTCAAAAACACCTGCAGAGTCAAATCTCTGTCCTTCACTTAAAGTAATGGCCGCCATTCCAGCTCTCCCCTCCAGACCTGAAAAATAATAACAATAATAATAATGGATTTTAACTCACGTCTAACTCAGGTAACTATCTAACAGCAGCTACAGTTAGCAGCAGTTAGTGGTTACTTTAGCAACAAGTAAATCAGAGGCAAAGCAGTTGGAGGACATATAAGGGAAAACTAAGTTTTCTCCATAAAATATTATCCAGATTCACTATAATCAGTGACATAGTTACAATTTCTCAAGGGAGATCTAACCCTAACTCAAGTTACATAATATAAACAGCCGTTTCACTCCATCCAGTGTACCATCAAACTGATTTTGAAGATGTTGTTTTAGGGTAAAATAGTTGCGAGATGCTGCTTTAGGGCCCTTTCAGACACAGCGTGATTTGAGCTGCACTTGCCGCTGGTTCAGCACAAATCCGACCAGGTGTGGGGGAAAGGTGGAAAGGACAGAGCAAAACAGGCAGAGGGTTGCATCAGTGAGATGCACTAAAAACAAAATTATCCAGCAGGTACCAATTGACAAATTAGAGAATGATCAGATGTTTATGCTCCACTGGCTTGGTTGGAAACGTGTTTCCAAGACAGGCCATTCCTTCCGAGGTCTTGATACAAGCATAAAACTCTTTTAAGGAATTCAGACACAGTTCCATACCTGGCTGCCTCGTTTCAATTGGCCACACGAGTATTCATTACTGCGCATGCTTTTCTCAGCGCAAAGAGAAGCTATCATAGCGCCTTGTAAACTATTGAAAATAATGGATTTCAGAGTGCAGTAGCTAGTGTTGCATCGAAAAGAGCTAAATCATTGGGATAAACAATATAACAAATAATTGACTTTGTGTTGTTTACAGAACACCAGCATGCACCTCTCTGTCACTGCACACAGATGTTGCATCAGTGTTGTTGTTCAGCCAGAGATGATTGGATCAATTGTTCTGTCAACTCAAATGCAGTTTAGTGTTTCATTGTTGTTTCAGTTTGGTTGAACTCGTAGAGTCGTATGTCGTAACCTGCTTTCACTTATATGAACTTTGCCCTCTGTGCTGCCTGCCCGTCCTTTGCCACCTTCTGTGTTTTCCTATGCTGTGTCCCAGTTCAGCAGTGGCATCTTCTGAGATATCTCAGCCAAAGGTTATGACCAGGACACTGATCTCAACTGACCGACAGAGTGTAAATACCACTGGGAAACTGGGGCAAGTTCCATGAGTTTATAGTACGAGTTGTACCATTTTCCTTCAACAAACGATAGACTACTGGCAATCAGTGTGTTTGGTTAATGGTAAATGTGTATATCCATACTTTCATCTCCCTGTAATGCCCTTTGATTTATCCAGATTGTAAACATAAGAAAACAGTGCAGTTAACAAGCATTTTATTGGTCTAGTTCAACAGACCGGCCACATGAGAGCAAAACAGGTAAATATGATTTACAGACTTTAGAATCTGAACACAATATAATAAACTGAGGTTTCCAAGGATAGACTGGTTGTGCCTTTCAAATCATAGCATAAGAAGGTCGCATTTTCTTTGTCTAAGAACAGAGCTTGTAGGAACAAAAACAAAGAAGAAGATGTACAGTGAAAATTACCTGGCACTTCAACTCCATACACGTTGGCTTCTTTAATGCAGTCTACCTGTGTGATGACATCAGCCACCTCATTTGTAGACACGTTCTCTCCTTTCCATCTATTAATAATTAAAAAACAACAATGCTGTGTGAACTCAGATTTTTAAGCTTTAAATTGGCTGAAACAAAAGTTTAACTCACCTGAAAGTGTCTCCAACTCGATCCTGAAAGTAGATGAAATTGTCATCATCAATGCTCAGCAGGTCACCGGTGTTGAAGTACATGTCTCCTTTCTTGTGGACATTATGGAGCTTCTTCTTCTCAGTTTGCTGCAGGTCTCTCGCGTAACCCGAGAACGGTGCTCTGATTGATATTTCACATACCAGAAGTCCAGGTTCACCTGCGGAAAGTTAAAACTGGAGAGTTTATCTTTGGGGGGAGTTAAAGGCGTCAGTGTGTTGTAGCACAAATTAAAACGTTTTTTTTTTTATGATGCACTGTACAGCAGATACCTCAGGTTGAGTCAACAGTGACAAATACACTCCCTGACTTTTCCTCTACTGCCATCATGAGGTTGATTTATCAAATATCTTTCAATAAATAAAAGATGTCAGTTACAGCTGTGGAATTTGGTTCACACACATTCATGATTCCTTGATGACTTTAATCTCCCAAGTTGACATATATGGCCAAGTACATGAATATTTAGCTGAAGTAAACCCTCACAGAGTTGCACGCTAAAAACAATATAGGGGTCACTACAGCACCAATGCAATATTGGGTTATCTAGAAACCTGACAGTAAAACAAAAACAACACCAACAATGCATTAAACTTAAGTCTTGTTACATATGGTCCAGTGTGTAGGATTTTAGTGACATCGAGCAATGTAGTTACAGTTTAGTTGCAATGCCCTTGCCTCACCCTGCTGTTACAAAAATGAAGGAGAACTACGGTGGTAGTAACTGATAAACTGAAAACTTTTAAATTGAGGTGTGAAATCTGTTTTGGAAAGGAACTTGAATTGTGCAGCATTGAGTTTTCCACTGTACGCATCTTCCACGTGTCACAAATAAAGTTGTTTTTTTTAAAAAAAGAAAACATGGGTGTCTGTCTGTTTGTGAAAAGTGTTTAAGTAGATTTTAAGAAGAAATGTATTAGTTAGGACGGTTGGTGATCTAATACCCATTGATTTAATAAAAATCTTATATCCGTAGGTATTGATTATAAAACATTAACTATACTTCAGTTCCCCATTATTCCCTGGAAAACATACAAATAAAACAGGATGACATGATCTCTGTGTCCTTGATGGTACCCACAGCCCTGGTATGAACGCACCTTTAGCAGCCTCTATGCAGAAACCAGCAGAATCCCTCAAAGGCATATCTTTGTCTACGTCGTACTTGATCAGACTGTACGGGAAAAACCACTGCGAGAAAAAAATAAAAATAAAACCAAACAAACTTGCTTATTGATTAACAGCTCTTACTTTATAATGTGGAAGGAAACATGGACTTCTACCTTGTGGAGGAAGGTGTCTCGCCCAACAGCTCCAATCTTGCCACTGTAGTTTATCAGAGCAAAGTTCCCTTCTGTTGCTCCATAAAACTCCTTGATTTGAATGTTTCCAAACCTGCTGATGAAGTCCCTCCAAACATCTGGCCTGATCCCGTTGCCTATCGCAAGTCTAACTTTGTGGCTTCGATCACTGAGTTTCTGTCATGGAAGACAGGAAGACTTGTATTTTCTGGTGACCTCTGATATGTACCATTAATGTTAGTGCTGTGACATACAGTGCATACCTTTGGTGTGTTGCAGAGGTAACGCATAATTTCACCTATATACTGTATGACAGTGACGTTGTATTTTCTGCAGTCGTCCCAGAACTGAGATGCAGAAAATTTACTCCTTAAAGCCACCGTGATACCTACAAACAGCAACAAGATGACAAAGTAGGATTATTGAATATAAGCTGTTTGCTAAAGAAATTATGCCACATCATATTAGCTATAAAATACTGTATAAATTAAGCCATAACAATTCAGATCAAACCTACTTTGAGTTATTTGTGAAAGAAAGCAGTAACAGTGAAGTGTATGTTAGTATATCACCTATTTAAAAAAAACACCACAGTCATAAGGAAGTTACCATATATGGTTCCTCACCCAATAAAGGGTTAAGAGCAGGGGTTAGTGTGAAGGCATTTTCCTTCTTTACATTAGATGGGTTAGGCGGTGTTAGCCGGTGCCTCTTCTTTGTTGATTTGTCCTCCTCTCTGACTGTTTGGTACAGCAGCTGATATGGTCGAACACTGAGCACCCAACATATCGTAGCTCTACTTTGTTATGAAAGACCGAGGTTGTCTCTCTTTATGCTTCGTGTGTGACTCTGGGTGTCATTCAACAGGACTTAGTATAGCGTAGGTTGGCTTGGAGTTTAGTTTGAACCACTACTTAACTGGATCTTCTCATTAATGTAGCTGCATAAGTTAAGACCATATGTGGGACACTAGAAGATCTTGTGGGTCAGGAGACTAATCTTCAGATCTGGGTTGGTGATCTTGTTCTTGTCGGTCGAGCCTCAATAAATTCTGCTGTGTAAGTCATCAAGGTCCCCTGAACTCCTCATCGAGTACAAGTGGTTCGTATTCTTCACAGTTTTTCCATCACAGTTAAATGTTTATTTTTAGGCTACTTATGTCTTCAGTCAGTTTATTGTCTGCATAAGCTTCCATTATGTAAAGTGTGTTTAATACGTCTCCTCCATTTCAAGATCAGTGAATCTGTGATCAACCTTGTGGTCTGTTGAAGACATTAATCCAAATTACTGGCTTCCCCTAGCTGCACCTCCTCAGCCTGGCTTAGCCTTTGTGAAACCTAAGTCAGGATGCACCGAACAGGCCTCGCTTTTTAGTGATCCTGGATTTCTTAATTCTGCTTTTGTGAAACAGCCCACAGGTTCCAACCTGCTGCTGTAAATACTCACTAGAGCAGTTTTTCTGAAACCTTTCTGACATCCTGCCCAAGAAATCCTATCCTAAACCCTAAATGAGCTCAAGTAAGTTTAATTCCTTTCAAACACCACTTATCATGTTCCAAATCTGTTCATCTCAACAGAATTTAAACTCAATGTTAGTCACACTATTAAGCATATGGACTCTTTTATTTTGTAGTAGGTTTGATCAAGTTTGCAATTGTACTTCCACTTGGAGTGACAGAAGGGGCATGTTTCCATGATGTGTGCATGACTTTCGGCTGTTTTTGATATCAGACTGTGGCTGCCTGGGGTTTCTTGTGATGTATCAGTAAACTATTTCTGTTCATCTTCCTCCTAAAAACATATATGTGGCAGTATATTTAACTTTTTATAAGTTACATGTCAATCTTTCTCTAAGTTTTGTTTTACAGATTTAAGTTTTATTATAACAATTAATAGGCTTGAAATGCAACACACAAGGTAGGAGGTTGGAAAGTATTGGAAGATGGAAGGTTTTGGTCTTTTCATTGGATTTGCTGACAATAAATAGAATAACACCAGTCTGTTCCCTTAACAAAATCACTGATGCTGTATGAATGTGCTCATACCCCTCTCAATGGCTCCAGTGAAACCAAGTAAGCCGGCGCTGTGATAGAGAGGGAGGCTAACATAAATCACGTCTTCGGGCTTTACTCCTGTTACAGTCAGAAGCAAAGAGAAGGTCCACAGTTTGGAGTGAGTGACCACTGCTGCTTTAGGGAAACCTGTTGAAGAGAAGCCAGAGGTAAACATCAGTACTCTTTCTTTTACTGTTGAATCCTGAATATTTAACACCTGAAGTAGCTTACCTGTTGTCCCTGATGTGTATATGTAGACTGCTGGACTCTGCAAGGTTACATTTGACCTTAAATCTTTGGATATAGGCTCAGAGGAGGCCTGGCTCATTTTGAAGCTCTGCACATCTGCAGTTCTGCATCTGTCAGCCAGGATGAAAACTGTAACCTGCTGCTCCAACAGACTGGGCAGGACCTCCTCCACAGCATCCTGTAACTCTGGGAAGTGGGAATAAAATCAAATGTTCTCTGCAACTGAAAGACTTAACAGGATTAATAATGATACATAAAAACTGTAATCCTTCAGCAGTAACTTTTTGCTCCTCTGCAGCTGAGGCATCGTATTACTGCACTCCAGTGGTTGGAAAGTACAATGAAACAGAGAATTGTTAACACACAAATGAAGAGCTATATATCGGTCAGTCGATATTGGCCTATTTCAGATGGTATCATATCGGTTTTGGTGTATATGTCATGCCATATGCGTTAATATAAAACCTTTTTTCTGGTATATAATTGCATAAAGGCTTGTAGTTTTTACAGGACTAATGTTTTAGCTATTTACTTTACTCTTTATTTGCTCATTGTTTTCTATAATTAGTTGACAATCTAACCTACGTTCAATTATTTAACCTATATTCTTTAATGAAAGCTTAAGAAAGCAACCTTCTGAGTACCTTTGCATACTCATATCAGTGCAAAATCTGTCTATTTTCATTCCAGCTCTAAAATCCACTATACTGGTCATATCAGTATTGGTCTAAAAAACAAAAAAAACAAAAAAAACATTGGTTTTGCTCTACAGTTGAATGAAGTTTTTCCAAATCATTTAACATTAACAGCCGATTAAAGTTTTGTTTTGTCACTGTGTTTATTGTAAGGCGTCACAGGCCAGAAAGGAAGCACTGGTTTAATATTTAACACAATATTGTTTACAGCTCCTAAACATTGTGCATGACTCTCTCACTTTAATAGTTTTGAATAGTTGAAGTCTGCATCAAGGGGTTTTACAGTGTTTTACAATATTTGGTGCAGTTTTAGAAAAACATTTGCTGTTTGCAGTGCAAGACTTTGGTTCTTAATCATATTTGAATTAAAAGAAAACTGTCCAGACTATTTTCTTAGCCATTTTCTCTGTTTTTGTTTCCTCTACCTACATTCTGTGTCTTAAAATGTTGGAGTTTTGCCTCCAAGATAATGTTTCCCCTCTGTGTTTAGACCAGTCATGGCATGCTGTGGTATTGCTGTCAAACTGATGAAGACCTTTTCTAAATATGCATGTGTTTTCTTGAGCTCTCAGGACCACAATTATAAAGCAGACTACTCAAAATTAAAGCCCTAGTAGGAGTAAATGTAGAAGAAATGTAAAAGTATTAATACTTTGAGTTTTGATACTTAAAAACAATTCATTGATAATACTTTCATTCTTTTACATGAATAACATTTGCAATACAGTGAATGTACAGTGTGTAATCACATGCAAACCCACCTTCTGCAGCCACCAGGGTTTTGGCTCCGCTGCAGCTGAAGCAGTGCAACAAGGACCTGGATCTGATGTTGTAGTTGAGAAACGCAGCGGAGCACCCGATCTTCCCCAAACCCAACCACAGCCACAGAAACGTCGGCTCATTCCCGAGGAAGAGCGCAACAGTGTCTCCCTTCCCAAGGCCGCTCTGCAGGAAGACTCTTGCGGCTTTGTTGCTGAGCTCATCGGCCTCCCGGTACGTGAAGGTCTCCTCTTTATAGAGAATTAACGGCTTGTGCGGCTGCGCCTTCACCGCCTCCGAGAACCGGTCCAGGATGGAGAAATTAGTCTGATTGTATTTTTGGATAAGGCGCCTTATTTTTAATTTATTGCGCACGAATTGGACATCCTGGAGAAGGTGTGGATGGCGGAATACAAAGGCAAGAACAAGCACAGCGACACACACTATCCAGACGAGCATGTTTACCTGTGGAGAACTTCAAACCACAGAGACAATGTGAATGGAAGTTTAAACACCTTCTTCTGGAGGTGGAAAAAAGAGGTCGCGGCTAAAAGATATGAGGAGGAGGAGGAGCGCAGAGATCATATCAAGGGTTAGAAAATATTGACAATAAAACAAAATGAATAACCAAAGGATTTAGAATCAATGATTTACAGAATATGAACCATTATTTTCAGTCTTTGAGTTGCTTCTATGTTAGAGACTAGAAATATATAATGGAGCAATGGAAGAACTTTAGGTTACTTGTAATCTCTGGTTCTTTGATACAGAAGGTGTTTCACTGTCTGTCTCCCCCCCCATATGAACCACAGTGGATTAACACATATCAAACCATTCCCGGTTTCTGTCTGTGTCTATAAAACTCACTCTGTTATTAAACAACAGGGCTAACCCAAAGGCCTTTGCTCCTCCCCTGGGGAGAATGGAGGGGGATGAAAACCAATTGTGGGACATGTAGGTGACACCACCTTAGGTACAAAGGCCAGGTTGGGCTGCAGGCATATGGAAAGCCAAAAGACTCATATTTTGTCTCAGTTTCCCTGTATTGTATTGTAAAGGGCAGACCACACTGACTGAGTGATTACAGTTAATCAAGCACTGATATCTTTTAGTATAAATACTGTAGTTTGTTTGGGTAGTCTCAAGAAAATCCCATGTATGAACTATTTTATCATTTATTTTTAGATTATTTATATGTATTATTATTGTAGGAGCATGTAGAACATTATGATTATGATATTGAATTTTACTTTGAATGAATTATGCATAAATGTAATGAAATATGGAGAGTGGAGTTAGAATTATTAACTACTGGAGTTATACACCAGGTATATATATGGTATATACTGTATATACTTATATACCTGCTGATTGCTGGTATAATAGCTGCACTGTCTGAAGTGTGGGTTCTTTGGTTTGTAGCCACATTATTTTACCTCTA